CAGAGTATATTCGAATCGGATGGCCTGTGCTAAGAGTGTTTGAAGCATGTCACGGGGAGTCCATCGCGGTTTTTGGCCATAATACCAAGGCTCCCACGAAGAGAACTAAGCGCTTAAAGCACCTAGTGTGCACTCACAATAGATTCCCTATCTCATGAAACGTCAATCGAAATTCAGATTACTTCAAATTATTTCGATACTACCGGTTATCTTACATTATACTCTCAAAACATTTCAATCACGTCCTGTTGATGGCTTTTTAACGAAATTCTTTCCAATTGCCTGCAATTGACTACATAGGCAATATGCATTTTCTCTTTGGTTTTCGTGGCCCCTATAAATCTGAATATATTTTATAGAAAATAATCATAAAATATTATTTCTTGTACGCGTTTGGTAGGTAAGTACGCCTTCTTCAAATGTTATTCTAATACGTAGGGCATTTTCCGCTTTAACAAAGTTTCTAAATCGCCCAGTAATTGTCAACCTTACCGAGCGTTACACTTGAGTTCAAGGTTCCCAACCTATATGCTGCATACATCCTATCTAAGGAAAGGTGCATATTTCCCTATGGTCTGAGGAAGAGTTCACATAGTTCTCATAAAAGAATATGTATCATATCGTATTCTTTACAGGCGACATTAATAAGTTGGGGATATGTCGTATTCTAGGCCAGCGTGTCATAGTCCTAAAATCTCATAATTAGAAACGTTTTTTAAAACGGAAGGGTACTCTATATTTAGGTATAAAATTTTAAGTAGGCGTAATTCTCTATCAAATTAGTACAAGAACTAATATTTTAATGCATTTTTCGGTAGGGTTTCCAAGTGGGTTGCTCAAAAGGTCCTCATGTATTATAGCCACCTGCTTAAATGTTTTAATCTTCCAGTTTTATACATGCAATCCGTCGAGCCAGAAGGGATTGGATGATGGCATTGAACTGCAGAGTGGTCCTCGAAAGTTTGCCGCGTACAATAAACGCTTTATTACTAAGCAAAATCGACTTTTTAAAATTAACCACAGGAATAATCGCTTACTTGCCAAATTTTAAGTAGGGTGATTTCTACAGTCTTCCAACTTTTGCATTGCGCTAACCTTTTTTTCTAGTTGTTGTTGGTGGTACCACTAGAAACTATACCTCAATGACCTCGCCCGAGCTTATGGCACAGTCTCCCTACACCGTTCGCCGTTGGTCGGGCGGGAGGTTAGCGATGATATTAAAGCCCATTTCAGTGTCCCCGCCTGAGGTTTGAGTACGCGACCCAACTTGTCCTCGTAGCTTTTTTATTTTACAGGAATATTGCGATCCTATTTGTTCCCTGACATGACCTGTCCGTCCTCTCCCTTAAAACCAGGTGCCCGTGAACCTGAGGGGCGCGCTTCACACGTTCCCCAGGCGGCCCCACAAGGAATCCCTACCCATTTTCTATAAAATATACTTGAATTTATAAAGGCATCAAAAACCAGGAGGAAAAATGCATACTACTTAGGTGGTCGTTTTTGAGGGATTATTGCAGACAGGCCACGATGACTACTTTTGAATGCACTATTTTCGACTTTCTGAAAAAGGATATTCGGAAAAAGACGCCTTCTTAAGAAGTGTGCATTCTTGCTTTTTATTTTATATGGCCTTATATATTCAAATATATTTTATAGTAAAAATGCTCAAAATATCCTTTCTTGTACTCAGTTGATAGTCAATCACATCTTCTACAAGAGGCATGGTTTATGCATTCAAAGATTCACCTTCTCGGGCAACTGAAGAAGGCTACAACGCACCTCTTCTCTTCGCACAGTCTGTTCGAGGATGTGATCTAGCTTCTTTATCCTTCGAAAACTATCTTTAATGGCTCTTTCTACCGCGGAGAAGGCTTCGGCTTCCTCCTTGATCACCTTAGCCTCTGTGCTAGAGGTTCGCTCTCGTCGGTATTGCTGTTGGAATTGAGCATCTTCTACGCAAGTAAAGTCGTCAAGAATGTCCGCTGGGATCGCACAATCAATGTCGTCTTTGAAATCTATCATCTCCAATACATACACGGCTGGAAGAGTAACAAAGTGGAAATGACCCCTCAAAACATTTATACACGGTCTATAAGTTTTTTAAATAAATGTGCACTTTTTTATCGAAGTTACTAAACCTCAAGTTAACCTTTGAAGTATTGAAGTTCCGAGGAGAGCACACACAGCTGTTTAAACAATATAACTGTGAGGGTTCATGCTCCCGTCTGAGGCAGCGTCCTCTAAAACCATAGAAACCCCTACTATTTACTGATAATCAGTAAGCAGAAATGTGCAAACGATGTGCACGCAGATTTAAAGCCGCAACCGTGTGCCCAGAATAACCAGATAGATTGGGTGGAATTACTCTCATAGTCACTGAAATATCCATGAGGGTGGGAAGTGATAAGTTGGGGTACGATTAGATAGCATGTAGTGGATACTGTCTACATACCAGAAAACCGACGTTGCCAGACGGAGTCGAAATGCAGTCTTC